ATCCTAAGCCCAATTCCATCAAGACGCTTCGAAGTTCGTCGATTTGTGCGCAACTTCTCTTCCATCATCGCGCCTCTTACCAACCTGTTGACAACTTCCAAAGGCATTTCTGCTTGGTCAAAAGAGTGCGACGAATCCTTCACCGCGCTTCAGCGGTTATTATCACCTCCAATACTACGTCATTTTGACCCCGATGCGCCTACGGAGGTCCACACCGACACCAGTGGTGTCGGTCTTGGTGCTGTATTGGCTCAACGAAAACCAGGATACCAAGAATACCTGGTCAGTTACGCGGGTCGAACCCTCAAGAAAGCCGAGTGTAATTATTCTGTCACTGAGAAAAAGTGCCTCGCAATTGTCTGGGCTTTGATGAAGTTCCGCCCATACCTTTATGGCCACCCTTCCGAAGTCGTCACGGACCACCACGCCCTATGCTGGCTATCATCGCTCAAAGACCCTGTCGGGGCGCCTTGGTAGTAGGGCGCTTCACCTACAGGAATACGACATTCATGTTGTATACCGATCCGGCCGCAAGCACTCCGACGCTGATGCGCTATCCCGCTTGCCGCTACCGGCTGACCCAACCTCCTCGTCACCTTCTTCAGCTGTCATAACACTAATCGACTTCGCAGACATGGCATCGGAATAACGCAAAGATGTGTGGATTTCCCAACTCCTCGCCTTTCTGACTGATCCGTTAGCTAATTCGGTCTCAAGAACTATCCGTCGTCAAGCCACACATTTCGCTATTCGATACAACCTCCTCTATCGGCGAAATTACACGTCTGAAGGCCGGAGGTGGCTGTTAGTGATACCCAACCACATGTGCTTGGAAATCTTTACTGCTTTCCACAACGACCCGCAAAGCGCTCACCCCGGTGCTCTCAAAATGTACAACCTGTCTACGTCAGCGGTACTACTGGCGCGGCATGTACACATTTGTCCGCAAGTACGTGCGTGCTTGTACTGCATGCCAGCTACGCAAAGCCCCACCTCAACGCCCTGCCGGTACACTTAGCCTCTGCCCTGTCCAGCGCGTCCATTTGACCGCCTCGGTATCAACTTAAACGGACCACTTCCCACATCGTCTTTTGAAAATAGGTGGATAATTGTCGGCGTGGACCACCTCACATGTTACGCAAAGACGGCAGCACTACCCGCAGCAACAGCAAGGGAAGTTGCGTTTTTCATCTTGCGCAACTTTGTTCTTCGCCATGGTGCTTCGTGAACTTTTGAGCGACCGGGGGCGTGTTTTCTTGTCTGACGCCATTCAAGCCTTGCTCGCTCAGTGCAACATGGTTCATCGCATGACGACAGCATATCACTTGCAGACGAATGGCCTCACAGAATGATTTATCTTGACGATGTACACAGCTTCAGACCAGACCAATTGGGACACTGTCCTTCCATTCGCCATGTATGCGTATAACACCGCTACGCATGCGGCAACAGGGTTTTCCCCTTTCTGTTGTACGGACGCGAACCGTCGTGCACGCTGGACACTATCCTCCCATACACGCCCGACTCCTCTGAGTACACTGCAATTTCTGATGTTGCCAGGTATGCAGAAGATTGCAGACGATTGGCCCGGCCCGTTCACTGACAACCGAGGACCAAGGCCACCAGAACCTACGGCATGACACCGACCGACATCTCTCTACTTTCACGACTGGTGCTTTCGTTTGGCTCTGGATTCCACCGAGCACTCCTGGCCTTTCGTTGAAATTACTGGCACGATACCACGGGCCCTACCGCATTCTCGCCCGTACGTCACCAGTCAATTATGAGATTGAGCCTTTGACACAGTCTGATGACTTACGCTGTCGTGGCCGAGAAATTGTGCATGCGAGTCGCCTGAAGCCACATTACGACCCCGCTATAGTGACTACGCCTTAAGTCGCCAGGTTGGCTACGCTATTCACTGGGGGCCAATGTAGAGAGCGTCGATGAAGCAGCAAGAAACGGCAAGCCACAGCGTTGGTGCACACGCGCCTTCCGAGCTTGCCTTGTTTGTATTTTCGGCCTGTTGACGCTCCTCGCTCTACTGGCGTTCCTCAGCCTTCCAGTAGGTCTGTACGTAAATAAACTAGTACGTGACATATAGTATAGGATGTATTCGTTGTGGATTTTCGTCCTTAGTTTATACCCCCGCAGAGTCCTAAATATACGTATGTATGCTGTATAAAAAGCTACTCCGAAATGTGTCTTTGTTCAGCAACTGCAGTTCACACAATCAGAACAATATCTTTCACAAGTCACAATGATTATGAAGATCAGCTTGAGACGTGTGATAGAGGTTCTACAGCAATTTTACAGCTTGAAGAAATTATATAGTAACGGTAAATTGACCTGACTACGTGTTATAAGTGGACGAAATTGGCGCACGAAATTTTTTGTAATGAAGTTTTCGTTTTCTTGGCATTTCTACCTTGCTACAGTTCGTATGATATGTGGTCTAGTACTAAACGTAAGGTACATAGCACAGTATCGGCTCGCTTAGCATAGCATTTAGTTTTTTTTTTTTGCGCACTGAAATGCCGCTCTTCCAACATATAGTATCGAGATCTCGCATTTTCTTGCTTTTTTTTTCCCGCTAAGTAGAGATTCAGTTTTTTTCCGAAGTACATTTATATGTTCTTTTTTAGTATTTTATGTAATGAACTTTTGAGAGCGATTCTACGAGTACTCGAGCGAATGCACTGCCAGCACGAATACGTATTTCAGGCGGTACAGTGGCCTTTGGTGTTGCTTGAAGTTTATTTATTTGTTTATTTTTTATTTATTCTTTGAAGGTGGTTTTGTTCTTCTCGGTCAGATCACTGTACACAAAAGTTGTTCTCGGTTGCCTTATTCTGAATATCGCGTGTCAACATTCACAAAATCGGAAAACATACCTGACGGTTTGAACCGGGTCATTTTTATATTACACCATATATGTTATACAGCCACGTCAGTGCGTCTATGTTTTGTGAGTGCCTCGTATTGCGGTGATGCGACGTCTAATGATGAACATGCGATCGCCGGTGTCCTCTGCGATTCCAGGAGGCGTCGTTTCCAGTCTGGCAAAATAAAATTATAATAAGAGCGCAAATCTGCCATGAACTTGAATTTTATATAGCCGAGGTGGCAAATACAGCCATGCTGTCTTTCATTCGTAACAGAAAGGTTGTTGATTCGCCGCGGTAGCTCGGCCAACATCGCCATCAACTCTAGCAAACTTTGTTTTAGGCACGAAAAAAAAAAAAAATTGCGCCACTCAACTGAAGCCACGCCTCCATGCACCATTGGTGGTGGTGGTAGTGATTAGAGGAAAAGAAAGACGCCTAATTTCTGCAGCCTGTTAGGGAGCACATCGCAGCGTCATCACCATTGCACCTGCGCAGGTGTGCGCCGATGGTGGCTCACACTACGCTTCGCCACCGCCCCCCCTTTCCCCTATTCTCGTGCCTTCTGTTCACCATCCGGCCCTATCCAACCTATTGTATGCCTTTGAATGCAATATATGCTGCATTTTAACCAGATCTTGGCAGTTATTTAATAACAGTAATTGAATTACTTTTTTTCTTGTGAGCATCATGAAATGAATTACTTCAATTCAGTGATCTAAACAAACTCTTTACTTTCTCATTAACTTTTTTAAATGTGATGACCACTTATCCTTGAACAAATTGCACCAGGAAAGGAAAGAAAACAAAAAGGACAGCTATGATAACCCTTTATAATTGCCTATCTCGAGCTGTACTTGTCACACGTGTTTGTACCAATATCGCCAATGCTAAGTGACGCTTGTCAGGCCTGATATTTCGCTCCATTTGTCCCTAAATTATTGTTAATTGCCTTGCTTGCAATTTTCGACTCTAGAGGATGTTAGTTGTCTATCAAATATCTCAATTCATGCCTTTCGAGAATGTTTCAAGTATAGCAACAGTCACTTCATAATGCTGCTTCACAAGAAGAATATTGCTGGTGGCAGTGATGCTCCAAGATAAAGAGGTGCTTCTTGAAGCAGCACAGTAACCAGTTTTAGTGACGACATGGAATTGGTGTCTTGGATGTTGTCTTTACCCTGGATATTGCTTCAAGTGACAACAATAGAGGTTTTGTGTGACAACATATGCATATATGCTTCGAAATATATCGCACAAACAGCGATGTTTAATCATGAAAGCATTTATTACGACAAAGCAACGTCTAGTTGTGCACTTTTCAGTGTGTTACCATGCACTTAATCAAATAATTACTTAGGTTTTCACAGCATTTTGACTTTTTTGTTACCACACTACACATTGAAGGATAACCACCTTTATTGTGGCAGTCTTTTACTGCTTTAAAATAATCTGTTAATTGTAAAGAGAAATAATGATGTAATATATTTTCAGAAACAGAATTGCGTGAGAAGGATTGACTGCCTAAAGAAATTGGAAATACCAATACCTTTTTCGGAAGTTAAATTGGCACTCAAGATTTAATGTAAGTGGCTCAGGCATTGCAACGAATGAGGCCATGCCAGAGAGAACAGGAGTAGCATCTGAACTCAAATTTAAGCTTTGAAGTTCTTCGAAGCTCCAGATGAACTATTGTCAATGCGATTTCATTAGTTTTCGGAATTGAAGTGACATGTCTAGTTCGTAGGTGTAACAGTTTAATCATAACAAGGCACAAGATACAGTGCGGACTTTAATTAACTGGTTAATGAAGTCAGCAGTGCCATTTGTCTTGTACTTGGGCCATTACACATACAAACTAAACGTCACCAACTAGTATTGCTGTAGATGTTACAAAAATGACATATCAATATTTCATGTAGCTTTAATTTGGGAATTTAAACTAATTTTAATTATTTCAGCATTGTAATTCATAATGTCATTGAATTACTCATTAGAATTAAATCTGTCATGTTTAGTTGAAACAGCTACTGCTGCTTTTTTCATTATGCAATCCTAGGTAAAAGTTGTACACATGCTTCACATGTAACACTTAAATTGCTGATATATTTACAGGTGTATGATAAGGACTTCAGTACATTTGTTGATGTCACAGATGACTTTGTGATTAAAGACAAGTTTAAGGTGCAGCTACATGAAGTGAGTGAATACAGGTGAGTCCATCATCAATAAATTACAGCATGATATATTCAACAAATTTTTTCCAGCTATTGTGCCAATTTTGCTACTCAGATTTTATGCATTAGTAAGCTTGAGGACATGAGCTTAATTTTTTATCATGATAGCTGCATTTTAAGAAGAAGTAAAATGCATAAACGACCGTGTCGGAACAGACGTTGTATCTTTGCCGTTCAATTTGACTATAGCTGCCAAAGCTTTTTAGGACTTCTTTACATCTTCTTTTTAAAAAAGACCCAAAGAATGAGTTTTTCTCTCTGTTTATCACGCCTTTCATGTGCTTGGTTATTTGCTCAAGTGTCATGACAGTGTTTTTCTGTATGCAGTGTAGGTGGTTGCTCGTTTTCTGGCTTATCTACACTGTTCCTTTGTGCGCCATGGCTTAGATCTGCTGTAACGTGGCATCACTATTCCTGAGGGCACATATCGATCGCATGATTTGAGAAGCTTTACTTTAAATATGTTCCATAATTCATGTGCATTTTTGGTTTCCGCTAATTTTCTAAAAGATTGTAACCAGAGGTTAACCAAAGATTTGAGATGCAAAGTGAACAAACTAGGCAGAGCTGTCTTCTTCATATATTTACTCATTATTTTTCTTTGAACCATATGTATTTGCTAAGCTATAGTTGCATTTAAGCAAGTGCTCCCAGAGGTTGTCATTTTTGTGGATTCTATAGGTACAGTAATAAAACGCATTGGTAAGAGAATAGTAACTGTGGCCAAGTGTCAAGTATCAAGTAACTATACAAAACATAGAGGCAAGCCTCGAGATACTCATCCTTTAATTTCACTATAAAAAGCATGAGCACTTAGTGCAATACTACTGAGGAATGCTACTCTATTGGGTGCAGTGCTTCAGCATACCAACAAGGTCACAAGGTTCATTCAGTGGTCACTTTTTCTTATTCTAAGAAGACAAGGCACTTGAAACAAGAGCGGGTGGTTTCAGGTTTGTTAGCTCAAATTAGAAAGTGATAATTTCGCGGGTAATTGCAATTTTTCATATTTGTAAGCAGGCATGTGGCTTTAATAAAGGCCACTTCAATTTTTTTAATATTTAAGTCAACCTGCTAGACTTACTATTTTAGATTTAAACTAAATATTCTTAATTATTCTGCTGTTTCTAAACTTGTTTACATAGTTGTCTCCACCAATGTGTTACCACCACCAATTTGTTACCACCAGCACCTCCATCAATTTGTTAAGGTGTTTATGAGCCGGCAACCAGTGATCATACGCTATGGCAACAGTCACGGCCAAGCACGGACTCCCAGCGCTAGCGGCGTCCTTGTTGGGTAGCCCCACTAAAAGGTGCTCAAAAGTTCGACCCATTTCAGAGTTCGGAGGCTTCGTTACAGCATTTTCAATATGTACAGCTAACTCATTGAAAAAGCAATAAAGCAGCTGGGTTATGTAAAAACAAAAAAAATTAGGTTACTTTTAGGGTTGGAAGCACGCTTTAACAAAACAATGAACTAATTATTATGCCTAATTTGTACACCACTCTCTCCCTTCATTGCTATCAACCTTGATAGTACGCTTTGGGAATAACAGTTAATCGAAGCCCTCATGCAGGATATGATATCGTGGTGCTTTTATGTACTTGTGCTATTTATGCACTTGCTGTTTAACCCTTTCAGAAGCCACATGTGAAGAACCGTCTCTAAATGTGTGAAATCACTACATTACTTCAAGGCACTCAATATTGTATTGAAACAAGAATATAGAGGTAATTGAATTTATGTTATATATACTTGACCTAATTAATTTGTAATTAAATATATTTACCCGAAAGTAATTAATACATACCTTTGTCATAAACAAAACCAAATCTCAGCCTAGGAATATTACTATAGTTGAAATTCATTTTTGGTCATGGCCATTTGGAGCAAAAAAAATTCTGCTTTCATATTGGGCTTTCAGAAAGCGGCATGTTGTACAACTCGTTGAATGTTCTTGCCTTCAGAAAAGTGATCTTGTGCAACAGTACACTGCAAAATGATATTTAATCATGACAAATGTATTATGCGGGAGGTTTAATTCATCTGAAGTACTATATATATCTTGCTCTTTCTTAGCCTCTACTTGATGCAAGTAGCAAGAACTAGTGGTTTACACAATTGTGTACATAGCGTCTCAAAGGGTTAAGCACTCTCTTGATAAAGAAGTAGGACGTCCTAAGGGAGCACTGAAGGTTTTGCATCGGGTTTTCTTTTGTCTAACAAATAGCTAACGACCTATTTATCACGGCTGTAAATGGTGTTTGCTTGAGCTTGCAATGCAATTATTTATTAAGAGAAGTTTTTATAGTGCCCAGTTGTTATTTCAGTTTCAAAGAATGCCGAGTGAGGAGGAACCCAGAGTGGTTTTCATGTAAACATAGCTGCCTATGTGAGCACACAAAACTGTGCTCATATGAGCATTGCATCAATAACACTTTTTAACGAAGGCTTCCTGGATACTGCTATAATCTTCTCTGAGGTGTAAATATGCGTCACTACCCCCCACCCCCCACCCCCCCATAAAATAAATGCACTGCCAAGGCAGCCTTTGTATGCCTGTGCAAGTCTACCCTTTCTTTCTGTTGGAGAGGTCTGCTTGGAGAGACTGCTCACAAGGATTGTGGCCACAACACAAATGCCGTCATGATGGCGTAACGCAGGCAACAACGCATAAGAAATAAAAACAAAAAGAGAGCAAACGAGAAATGCAGAGAAAGAAAGAAAAGTAGGAAGAAAATCTAAAATAAATGGAAATAAAAAATAAAATAAGAAATTAGTAAAAACTGAAAAGAAATTAAATAGGCTGCCCAGCTTTGCACTTCTGTCAGGCTTGGCACCACTAATGGGAAGCTTTAATTTTTAGAAAGTAAATTGAGTCCACGGAAAATTTAGACATCTTGTCAATCAGCTTGGCATCAGGGAAAGCCAGAGTCATTTACAAATACCAAGTGAGTTCCTGAAAGTGTAAAGTGGCTTTGGCTGACTGGACTTAAACTTGGAGATGACTGCAGAGAGATAGAGCAGGGACCTAATTTCACGTTCGGGAGTACTACAAAGGAACATGCATGCGTGCATAAAGGAATTTTGTTTGACGTGTGTTGCAGCTTCTATGGCTTATAGTCAAATATTTGCATATGAAGATCTGAGGCAAGTAACTGCTCCGAATGGTCGTTATGCACTGCTCCAAAGATTCTAGTTAATCCAGGAGCTATGGCAAAATGGCTCTGGCCAATCCCATCACTGATTAGGTGAAAAATGCACTCAAAATTTTTCGTATGAAATCGCCTTATAGTGCTGGTAAACAAAGTAGTGTATTATATTGGCGTTGTTTTCCGCTATCTCAAATAACTGAAACATTTGTGCGGCTTTCTGCATGTGAAGGCCACTTGCTGTATCTGTACTGTACATTGGATTTCACTTCTAGTTATACTCTGAGTGCCTCCCCTTGTCATTTGCAGTAATGCAACTGTTAGAGCATCTACAGAATTCAATATGTAAAAAAAAATTGAATTGCTTCAGGCACATGTTCATTTTTCTAGGCACAACTTAATGAGTACAACAGACAAGTAAACCAAGGAAAGCACAGGGGACATCACTTGTTCCTTTGTAGCAGTAGTGTATTGATTATACCAGAAATTGAAGCTAACAAAAGTGCTCAAAAAACATCTTTGTCATTTGTGGGACCCTAAGCCACAACCTCTGAATAATGGGTCTGATGTTCTACCAATTGATAGATCTTTGAGCCCATAATTGAAAGGTTATGGATTTTAGTTCTACTAACTGTTAAAGATGTTTTTCTGTTCACATTAAATATTAAGAATGGCACAATATTTATATAATACTGGTTTAAAAACGAGTAATATTTCTTGCCTTACTTGTCTGTTGTATTCGTGAGGTTGTGTCCAACTGTACAACATATTGCCACTTCCTTTTTTTTTTCTTGTTGTTCTGTATCGGAGCTCGTGTTTCTTTCTAGCTGCTGAGTATTTCTCCAAAATGTTCTTTTTTAGGCATCCAGTGAAGATGTATGAAGAAAGGGCCAAAGCACTCGTGCGAAAATTTCCAAACTTGGCTGACTACATTAGAACAGGATATGTAAGTTAGAGGAATTTATTCTTCATTCGTTCATTGTAATTCTTTTCTTGTTTATATGATATCAGAGGAATGACTATTTATATAAACTATTGCACTCTTAGTAGAACTTGGCATGGATATACGAAGAGTCAGTATTACATTGCTTCACTGTTTTAGTTATTGATGAAAAACTAAATTTATTTCAAAATTTATGGCTTAGTGATTGCTCTGTACGAGTATTTTGTTACACAGATTTGTACCGTGGCCATAAAAATTACAACAATGGAAATTCCAATTTCGTAAGGACTAAAATTTTTTTCTTCAATATATAGATGAAACTAGGGAGAACCCCTTTGTTTGAACAAAGCAGCCATGGACCTAGCTATTGTGGTACATCACACTAGTGTAGGCAATGCCATTTTAGAAAGAGCATGGTTTAATATATGTCAGTGCAGTATGGTAAATGAGGGCATGCATTGTAGCAGAAGGAAAAGGGAAAATGGCTGGGGGCACATAGGGGAGTAAGCCCTGTGTGGTGGCAGTTGTAATGGGTTAGCGTGCAGGCTTTCCTGAACATGCAGCTAGTCATTAGCACATGTAAATTCTGGCCACTCCAAGATGGTCGGTCGGCTTTTTGTATGCGAAGATTCTCAGTTGCTTAGTGTTTGGCGATCATATTAATGTTCTGAAGGCATTGAAGAGAGAGGCACTGCGATCAATGCAACATTTTTAAAGGATGTCTGTATGAACAATATACAGCATTATGAACAACTGCTCTTGGAGCTCATCTTTGTGGCAGTTCTTTCCTATTAGTACATACTATGCCAGAGCCAGGACTTTGATATTTCAAAATAATCAATGTTCTGTTGTACTGTATTTAGCAGAGTGTGAATCCTCTGCAATAACTGTGTGGTCGCTAGTGCTGCAAGCACATGCATTTTTAGATTAGCTAGCAAGTGTACAGGTGCCTAACTTTGGTTGTAGTGATGTTGGTGATGCATGTCAAGGGATAACTTGAGTTTATGTATTTGCATGTGATGGTTCTGTAGCATATTGTGCTTGCGCACTAGCTTTGGTTTTGTTTCACACACACAAAAAAAACACATCTATAAGCAAGGTGCAGAAAGCACTGCACTGCATGTGTCTAAATAATTGTACATTTAGTCTTATTGATCTAGAATGTTTAAACTTGAGGCTAACCAAAGTGTCGGATTTATCAGTTTCTAGCTTTCGTGAAATTTAATATCGGCATGGCATTCTTATTTTGTGGTATAATAAACTGTCGAATTTTTAAACATTTCAGGATTCTTGGAGAGAGGCCTTGCGCTTCAAAGGAAAATATGAGCGAAGACAGATATGGATCCACCGCGGGGAAACAGTGCCTACCAAAAAGCATCGCTCAGATGGCACATTGACAATTTATGAGCCAGTTCTAAGAAAGGTGACAAGACCAACCACTGTAAGCTCCAAATGCCTGACTTTGTCGTGTATCAAGTTATTTTACTGAAAAAGTAATTGGCTAAATGAAATATTCCTCTTTTAGGTTACTGAAGTGCGAGACAGTGAAGATGAAAGCGGTGTTAAGAGCCACATTACATTGATGAAAAAAGAACTTGCAGAAACTAAGCCGGACCTTTTTTATGTCACTGACTGCATGTTACGGACATTCATTGCTAGAAGAAACTGGATAGAAAATGGGTGCCCACAGGCTATCACGGATGAATATCCAGCTCTGCTGGATATTCATCCTGGTCCCAATGGTCCCAATGATGTGCTGAAGGGCAAGGGTCAGAACCTTCAGACACATATAACTTAGAAGTGTGGCAACTTGGGCTAGTTGGTAAGACAGAGGGTGGGATGTGTAAGCTCCGAGACGCCTCTGGGAGTGTGAATGTGACCATATGCACAGTCCCAGAGGTCTGGGGGCAGTCTCGCGGGATGGAAAGGAGGGTAGTGGAGGCCAATTGTGTGATCAAGGGTATGAGCCGGCAACTTGGTAACAGCGTAGTGGAAGTTAACCAAGACGTGCACGAGCCCGGCGCTTGCCCCTTTGCACAGGATGGCATTCATTACAGTGGTGCGACAGGCAGGAGGGTTGGTAATAGGATGGGTCGTCAAGCCACAGCTTTTTTAGGGGGACCCAGAGCCCTGAAGCCAGCAGTGTAGCCAAAGACGTACGGTTCTAAAGGGGCACAAATATTCAAGCCACACGGGGTCCGTGGGAGAAGAAATCCACGTAAGCACGAGGGCCGAGCTAAGTCAGACATAGGTTATCTATTAACACGCAAGGTGGCATCAATAGGTTAAAGTGGGAAGAAATAGAAGAGCAGTTAAAGCAGGAGGAGCTGATGGTATAAGGGGCTGTGGAGACGCATCTTCGTGACATGGAGCAACCACCTTGCAATCCGGACTACGTGTGGGAATATTGCAGTAGAACAGAACGCAGCAAAAAGGGAAGTGGAATTGGTGCATTTATACATAAAAGTATGGCTTGGCAAAGAGTCAAGCAGATATGCATGGAACATTTATGGTTAAAAGGGAAAGTAGCTGGGCAGATGACACTCCTTGGTTTGGTGTACTTGTGGACGGGAGCAAAGGCCAGAGAGGAAACCACGATATAGTGGAGTGTATAACAAAGTGTGAGCGCCAAACACGAAATAAACATTGTCAGACACTTGATGAGTATCCCTTCAAGAACAATGTTTTTGGCCACTCTTTTTTTCCGCGAGCCATACGCGCTTGGAATGCTCGGCACCCCACCGTGTTGACACAGCCGACAGTTGATAAATTTGTTAATCGAGCGAGTGAATGTGTGCTGACTTTTATTTAGCCGTGATTTCCTGAATCGATGATGTCACAAGTTTTAACTCTGTCTGTACAATTGCGTTTTGTATTTGTTTTTTGCTTGCCCCAGCAATTCATCTGATGTTTATATTCAGGAAGACTCTTTGCCTATCACTACAGCAAATTTTGCACTATGTTTGAGATATTTGCTTGAAATTTCAAGGGCTTGCAACATGTATTTTTAGTCTGTGTATTGCTTGTTTTTACAATGTACAATGTGACACCACTCCTGTAAAAATCCCATCACGGGATTGACAGTATTCTGAAAAAATAAAATAAATAAAGGACACCGAGGAATTAGGAAGAGAGTGCGAGGCAATAATACTAGGAGATATGAATGCGCACATAGAAGATATAGATGGGTATACTGACCCAACAGGCAAAATGATCATGGATATGTGTGAAAGGCATGATTTTATCAGTTGCAGTACTAAGAAGCGTGAAGGGCAAATAACACGAAGGTAGGAAGGCTGCAGTTGACGATCGTTTATGTACTAAACTCGCATATGATGTATGATAGGCTCAGGGGAATGCAGAAGAGACGCTACACCACATCCTGTGTGACTGTTCATTGTATGACAACCAGATACAGTCACTGGTGTCTCTTCTTGCACGCATCGACAACAGCCAAATGTCAGTGGACACTATTCTGTCAAGTGCCTGAGAGAAGACATTGCAACAGAAGGCGACAAAAGCTGTGTTGAAATTCTTAGGCGACATGGGCTTGAAGAAGCGGCTGTAACAGCAATGTCACACACCGCGAAAGACTAGAATGGACTATGACTGAGTGTGCGTGCGTGTGCTGCCGAATGTGCTGTGTTTATCTCTCTTTCCTCTCTGCTCTCTATCTTTCATCTCTGCCACCCCCTTCCCATGTGCAGTGTAGCAAACCAGCTCCCTATAGGCTGGTTAACTTCCCTTCCTTTCTTCAGGGGAATGCACATAGATGAATGTGGCTCCAGAAGTCTAGGTAGTGATAACAAACGCATGAAGCTAAGTTTTGGAAGAGCAATGAAAGTGGGAAGGAGGCAAGATGAACAACTACAGGGAAATTTATATTCAGGAATGCAGATAAGAATAGTTACTAAATAAATTGAGAAAGTAATCACTGAGGATAATAAAACAATGTGGACGTACACGAATCTAATGAGACTGTTTGAGCTAGAGCTTGCTAAGGCACTTGACAAGTCACCCCGGAAAAGAAGACACAAGCCCAAGAGTTGGTGGGATGAGGAAGTCAAGAGAGCCATAGCAAAACGTCGGGAAGCCTCTAGGGAACACAGACATGCTAAGCAGCAGGGTGAACCGACAGATGATGTTGAAAGAAAATGGGAAATTTTTCTAAGCTGTAGAAGGGATGCATTCCTTCTGATCAATAAAAAGATTAGAACAAAGGGAGCTCAGTGGCTGGCAGAAGTACATAAAAGAGGTAGAAAGGCAGCTGCGAAATTTTTGAACCATCTAAACTCCCTAAGAAATGAGATGAGCCTAGAGCAAATGTTTATAACTACAGCTCAAGGTGCTAGGTTAGAAGGGGACGAAGCTATTGAATATATAAGAACAAGGGTGACAGAAGAATTTCAACAAAGAAGTGTCTTATGCACCTTAATAGACAAGGATGGTCAATTGGTGCAGAGGCTCCATTTTCACGAGAGTGGGAAAGGGCTGAGAAGAGGTTTCCTAGTAGTACATCAACAGGCCCAGATGGCATTCCAATTATGCTGATAAAGACATTAGGTCCGAAGTCTAAGCAGGCTTTGAGAGAGGCAGTGAGCAAAACAATAATCGATGGTGAAGTCCCAGATGAATAAAAACTTAGCAGAATGAGCATGAAAGGGAAACAAAGCTGACATGAGCAACTATCGTCCCATAACAGTGACATCAGTGGTTTACAGGCTGGTCATGCAGATTATAAAGGAAAGACTGCAGGCATGGATACAGGATGAGGGGGCGCGGGGGTAACTGCATAATGGGTTTCGAAAACAAAGGAGGTTGAAAGACAGGGGTAACTGCATAATGGGTTTCGAAAACAAAGGAGGTTGAAAGATAATCTGTTCTCACTGACGCAGTGTATCAAAATAGCAGAAAAGGAACACAGGCCCCTGTGGCTAGCATTTCTGGATATAAAGGGAGCAGACGAAAGCGTGGTTGAAGAGGTCTTGTGGGGAATTCTGAACGCACTAGCATAGGCGTATCAGCTGGGGGGGCAAGGGGGGCACAAGCCCCTCACTGAGAAAATTTGGGAGGGCTCAGCCCCCCCGCCCCCCTCTTTTGACAGCGGTCACTCTTGGCTGTATGCTGGGGAAATCAACAAGGAAGGCGAAGTTTTCCATCACAAGGGTAATGACTCAATGATGTCCTTATGGGAGAATCAAATTGTTATGAGGCCTTATGTTACAACATAGTGAAGTTTGAAATTTTGAATCTCGCCAACATTTCGGCTGTGATAATTGTCCTTGTAGGCTCATATATATATGTATATATATATATATATGCGAAAGTGTTCGTATGCCATTGCACACAAGGTGTGGAGAATGGAGTCACTAAGCTCTTAAAGGATATCTGTAGAAGTAACACGGTCGTTATAAAATGGTAAAAACAGATATCCGAGCCCACAAAAATAAAACGCGTGCGTAGGCAGGGGTGTCCTCTGTCGCCCTTGTTATTCATGATATACCAACAAGGATTACAGACCAAATTAGAGGGGAGTGGACTTGGCTTCAACCTCTCTTTCATCAAACAAGGAAAACTCATTCAGCAAGCACTACCAGCATTGATGTACGTAGATGCCATAGTGCTAATGGCCGACAAGGAAGATTTGCTGAGGTTTATATACATCTGTGGTTAGGAGGGAGATAAGTTTAGATTTGAGATTCAGTAAGAGAAAATCGGCAGTCATGATTTTTAATGATAATGAAGGTAGTGAGCTTACCATACAGGAGGTCACGCTAGAGATAACGAATAAATACAAATATCTGGGCGTGTGGATAAGCAATAGGACCGAGTACCTATAAGGGAACACGAAATGTACGTAACGACTAAAGGATACAGGGATGCAGCGGTGATGAAAAATAGGGCACTGTAGAATTACAATAGGTATGATGTTGAGAGAGGAATTTCGGAAAGGTGTCATGGTTCCTGGTCTGACGTTCGGCAATGCGGTCTTGTGCATGAGATCAGAGGTTCAAGCAAGATTAGAATATAGGCAACGTGGAATAGGTAGGCTTGCTTTAGGAGCTCACGGGAATACACCAAATTAGGGAGTACTAAGTGATATGGGATGGACACCATTTGAGGGCAGGGAATCTAGCAGCAAGACAAAATTTGAGAAGCGATTGAGAGAAATGGGGGAGGAGCGTTGGGCTAGGAAGGTTTTTAGCTACTTGTACATGAATATCGATACAAAATGGAGGAACTGAACCAGAAAATTGACGGGTAAATACTTAGAAAACCGCAGGTGGCCAAACCAAAAAGAACTAGTGGTTAAGAAGCTGAAGGAAACTGAGACCGACATGTGAAGAGTTGGCATGATTAAGAAGTCCGCACGGGAGATCTATCGAACTGCTAAGCAGGAAGTGCCCAGGAAAGGATCTATGATAATACTCGGGCTACTTCTTTACTGTTTGAGGCCAGGACGGGAGTATTGCGAACCAAGACATATCGGTCCAAATCCGAAGGGGAAGGAGTACGAAGACATGGTATGCAGTGCGTGTGGAGAGGATGCGGAAACTGCCGAACACGTGATAATGTTTTGTAAAGGGCTTCACTACAGTGGTCTAGCTTCACCCTATAGTTCAGTATGATGGCGCAGAGCTTTTCAAAGCACTGGGGTTTAGGGATACGGTGAGCAAAATAGACTTTAAGCGGGTAGAATTAACTAGAAGGACGTTATCCTATCGGTGGCTAAAATCAAGGCACGAGTGAATATTAAACCCTTCACTGCAAGTACCGGTCCTCAACTTCACGATTTAAAAAAATATATATAAGTTTAGTTTTTGGTTCACTCAGTATTACGGCTAGATGGCAATAGCGGCCGCCCAATCTAAAGGGTACAGCCCACGACCTTCTGCCATATCAATCCATCCATCTACTCATCACCTGCTCGCCTTCAGTCTGCGTATGGGAGTTCGAATTGGTTGTTTGAGAGATTTTTGGTGTTTGAGAGGCTGCCGTGCTTTGATTGAGCTACAGAAATTAGGTGCCTTTCTCCTCGTCTAACCACTACCACCACCAGATTTTGGTTTGCCAAAGAGGACATTGTGGTTTGTACTTCAAGCAGAAAACCACACGCAGCCGTCAGTTGAGTGGTTTGTAGCCAGCTCGTTCGTGTAATCGTAGTCCTGTCTGCTTTGTGAACTGATATTGGTACTATTAAGTCATGCAATATTGCCTGGTGATATGCCGCCCGTGTTTTCGACGTATGTGGACTTGACCGGCGCTGTCTATCCCCAAAGAACCGTGGAAACAAGTTTCTATGCTGTCGGAGCAATTCATAGGTATGCAAAAGGAACATATCGCAACTAGCTGGAGATAAAAGGGAGGCAGGAGCGATTAACGTTGCAACCTCTATTGCGCTCTGCATCACATTGAAAGCATCCTGGAAGTAGTTGAGAGACGAGAAAAGAAACAATGAATATTCAACCAGAATAACGCCCTTTGCGGTATCTCATGGGATGCCTGCCACTTTAGGAATGAAAGGGAAGTTAATCAACACCAGTTGCCAGAAAAGTACTCTGCGAACATGTATTTACAAATAAAGACGGAGTGGCTGTATATTGGTGACAAGCTTTCCATGGAAAACCTCAGCTGTTCAAGTGTGTATGACCGTTTGCGCTTTTATATTCACACTCGGCTCAGAGGAAAACAATCTTTTTCAGGGCGCAATGAGTGTGGACATCAAAGTAGAGCGGAGTAGCCCTCCAACTTTGCCACCTCCTGTGAGTGAAGCACATTTTTACACCTTCATACTCCCTACTCTTAGCCACTAATATGTCTCACTGGCCTCTTGTGTCCTGATAGTTGTAGTCTGTTTGTTACCACAGCATATAGGCTGGGTAAGCTCAAGTTGATGATCTGATACGCATGAGCATTCCCACCCCCATGGGCTTTCATTTGCTGTTTACATTCAAACACACTTGTCTCAGTGCAGCTGTATAGTGATAAAGATAATACCTTAGGACATGATCCCTATGTAAAGTCTTTCAAGATGGTGGTAACTTTCTTATACCAGTGTCACACGGGCATTTTTAATCGCAATCACTGCTTATCCGGATTAGGTGCTGCTACACGGTCACATTTAATCGCGATCAGGCCCGATTCGGATCAAAAGTATCGCGATCCGCACATTGCGATCTGGCTGGGAGATGGCGATTTTGTGTCGTCTGCACCCCCTGGCCGAGCTTGTTAAAAGCAAAAGAAACAAGACAAACAAGCTTTGTTCTGTAAAGACAGATTAAAGAAGCTAGATATTTATTTGTAAAAGAAATTTTAAACTGTTCTAATTAGAAAAATATCTGTGATGTTGCAAATTTTAAGATTCGTATTGACCACATGTAGTTATGGGAGAAGCAGACGACAAGTGCTACTCTCGCACCGTTAGAGCAGTTGGAGCACCTCGAAGCGAATTGATTATAAGTGTCCCCGGCTTCTCGACTACGTCGCAGCATATGAGCACTTCGTGGTCGAATGAAGAGACCGTTACAGTAATTGAGCGCTGGCAGGGGCGATTGGGAGACTTGATGTGCCAGAAGTGAAACTCTGGCGTGTACAACAAGCCATTTCTCTGCGACTAGGCGGCTACGAAAAGGTGCCATCAAAAATAAAAGTGAAGATGTCAAGGAAGAGCTGAGCATCTCTTCAACCGCGCAGTCTCCTGTAATTGTATCACTTTAAGCCTCCATTTCATGCTATAAATATTCAAATCTCATTCACAGAGGAGTGTATGAATAGCTTTTGCAAATCTGGTGTCAGTATCAATAAAAGGGTATCAAGCAATGTTATAAAACTAAATAGGACTTATAAACTACAAAGATTACAAGGGTGTGATTTACCTTACACCTGTCATTACTAAAAGCTGGAGCAATTCTATGAGGATTCTTGGTTAAAAACTGCGCAATAACACGAGATACAAATGAAGAATACACAAGTGTGGGCATCTATGAGGATGCTGAATGAGCTCTGTAGGGGTGTTGCCAAGAGGGTGCAGGCAGGCCCCCCCCACCGCCAAAAAAAAAATTACTGCTCTCTCCTACCTTAGTGTTTCTAAGAGCTGACTAAAGACCAGCCATGAAGTTTTCTATTTCCTTAACCCCCTACAGGAACTCTGCTTTTGTGAATTACCCATCCCCTCCTCATACAAACACACGCACACACGCCAGTAAGAACAGTCTTGGCACCGACATGTGAAGGTAGGACTGAAGAAGAGCAGGGATGAAGAATTGGAAATTGTGCTTTCTACTTCGGGGATAGTTAGACTGCAGTGGAATTAGCAGAAAAAAGTATCTCTGTATATTTGAACACCTTGTTCCTAAATTATAAATAATGCAAGTGGCCCTAATCAAGTGACAAAATATTGAATAGGTTTCATGATGTCTGGAGACCCCAAGCATAGTGCAGCACATGGAAGTAGTAGGCAAGATAACTTTGCTAATCATACTGAAGCGTTCTAAGCCTGTCTCAGAAGTACGCTGCTCTTTCACAATGCCATTTCACCTCATCTTTAAATAAACACAGTCACTTGTAACAGTTTGGTGGAAGGTGCCGGGTACATCGATCTGGACGACCCAGCTCTACCGATTTTGCGACAAAGCAGATGCTTGGCAGGCTTGCCACCGCAGCTACCAGACATGGAGGACGCGGGAGCAGGCCATAACAATCTCGTTGCTGATGAGCAACATGCTCACCCGCCAGGACAAGCTCTTTGTGGCATGCCGTAACGTCAGCCGAGGACCTTTTCGGGGCAGCCGGTTGACGATGTTGAGGACTGGCTCAAGCACTACCAAAGAGTGAGTCGCAGCAACCGCTGGAGCACTGCTAAGCAGCTCGAGAATGTGGTGTCTTTTCTCATCGGCACCGCGTCTCTTTGGTTCGACAACCATGAGAGTGCATTGACCACATGGGACATTTTCGTGGACGAGCTGAAGAGGTGTTTTGGTGACTCAACAGCTAAGGTGAAGCAGGCGAAGCAAACGATTTCACGCAGAGCTCAGTTACCTGGCAAAACATGCACCATCTACATCGAGGCCGTCTTGAAGCTTTGCGGAATCGTGAGTGTGACTATGTGTGACGAAGATAAGGTAGGTCATCTGCTCATGGGAATCGCGGAAGACGTGTACAATTTTCTTATCACTAAAGAAGACTTACACACACCTTTTGACCTAAGGAGACACTGCCGAGCGTTTGAAGCGCTAAAGAGGAGGAGAGTCCTACCAAAATTTGGACGTCTTGACAATGTGCCCACGATTGCAAGTGTCAACCTTCCATCGCAGGACGACATCTCTTCTCTTATAAGACGAGTGGTTAAGGAAGAACTTGCTCAACTGCAAGCTGTGGACACCGCCGGTGTCTGCCATCGGTGTGCGTTCGACCAACGGCCCCGTGAACCACTGGTACCTCGGATGCGACAGAGCTACTTTGAGCCTCGTCCGAATTACACCGATCGGTTCGAACGAAGAACGACCCGTCTGGCCGCCTGGCTCTTTGGGCGCCGCGCCTCCAAGAGTACAGTTTTCCTGTTACCTATAAGAGCGGACGATGTCTCACGGATGCCGACTGCTTATCCCGCCTTCCTTCAGTACACACCAACGCTGACTACGATGACATTGATGACTATGTAGTTTCTGTCTCATCCGACTTCCCAGATACCAGCAGCTTCAAACATGAGCAGCAGCGCGACCCTACTCTGAAACCTTTGCTTGAAGCTGCACATAACTCCTTCGACAAGCGCTTGAAAATTTCAAATGGCTTGCTGTGTAAAAGAAACTATTCAGCCTACGGCCTCCCGTTGCTTCTAGTGGTGCCGGAAAGCCTGCACCAGGTTGTCCTTCGTTCTATGCACGATGACATAACATCCGGTCATCTCGGTTTCACACGTACGCTACATCCACTACGTGAGAGGTTCTACTGGTCGAAAATGTGGAAGACCACAAAGCAGTACGTTCCCAGCTGCACTATATATCAGCACCACAGGCGATCCACCACTGCCCCGGCAGGTTATTTGCAGCCCATCCCTCCACCGACATCCCCTTTTGAAAAAGTTGGCATCGACTTGCTCGGACCCCATCGGGCCACCGATATGTTATAGTGTGCGTGGATTCTTCAGCGCGTTATACGAAAACGGACGCACTGGCATCGGCCACAGCAGCCGCTGTTTCTTCTTTTCTGTTACAACGGGTCATACTGCGTCACGGTGCTCCACGGGTTGTCATCAGTGACCGTGGACGACAATTTATCGCCGATGTGGTTGAAGAAATTTTGTGCCTTTGTGGCTCCTCTTATCACCACTCCACCCCTTACCGTCCGCAAACTAACGGTCTCACTGAGAGAACAAATCGAACTCTCACGAATATGCTATCGATGTACGTTGATGCTGACCACAGGAACTGGGACGCCGTATTACCGTTTGTTACTTACGCGTACAACACCGCCAAGCATGAAGTTACTGGACATTCGCCCTTCTTTCTGCTTTACGCACGAAATTCATGGAGTTTTCTGGACACTCATTACCTTTCTCGCATCAGGAAGATCTGTTCATCGCTCAGACGTTGTGTCGCGCTGAAGAAGCACGTCAACTAGCGCGCCTTCGAAAATTGTCTTCAAGAACACAGCAAGAGTCGCTACGATGTCAAACATATCCCTGTAGAGTTTTCTCCTGGTGACTACGTTTGGCTGTGGACTCTTGTTCGTAGAAAAGGATTGTACTGGAAGTTTCTAGCAAACTATTCCGGCCCATTCGTGATAGTCACTCGTCTCAGTGACGTGAATTACGTTGTCGCCCGAGTTACAGCCAATAACCGGCGTTCGCGCACTACACAAATTGTTCACGTAGCCCGCCTCAAACAGTACCATCATAGGCCTATTTAACTCGCTCGGCGAGCTTCGTCTGCAGCCGGGGGAAATGCAACGAAGATGCGCGAGCCTACAGGGCGCGGAAGAAGAAGAGGAGTAGTGGAGCGGCGCTTGGACTGTGTGGTTGGGTGAAGCGTTCTAGGCCTGTCTCAGAAGTACGCTGCTCTTTCACAACGCTATTTCACCTCATCTTTAAGTAAACACAGTCACTTGTAACAATACTTCACTAGGAGCAAGAATAGTTTTCATTGTGAACAGAAGAGGAAAATAAACTACTGGAAGACATGCCAGCCACAATGCCAACCATAATAGGTTTTTAAAAACAGATTGGTTTAGGATTGCATGAATAAATACAATATCTTAGAACAAGAATGAAATGATGGCATAGAGGAAATGAATGAAACCCTAACTAGGCTAATTTCTGAAGTAGCAGTTGGTGCCAGAAGCACTGTGGCAAAGGGTAAGCAAGCTCCCCTAAAACGCAAGGTACCCATGAAAGAAATTATAAAGAGATCCAGTAGAACTTGCAAAGCTAAAACCTTATTAGCTGGAATCGTATAATCGACATAAGAAATTATGGGGAGAGAATAGCGAGACTAATTTACATAGTGCAAACCTTCGTCTATCCGTTATGTTTTGTACAGAGTAGGATGTGCCGCCCTATGACCAACTACATCCTGTATCAAGGCCCGTTTCACTTTGTTTTCGCTAGATGTAGTACAAGTTTTTTTTTGTTTAATGCCACCTTGTTTAAGCTATGTAAGCACATTTGGGGAAATAAACTCTGATTTTGACAGCTAATGACACACATTATTCTAGCATGTCTGGTTTTAGGTACTGCACATGGTTTTTTCATGATTCAGCAGAAAAACTAGAAGAAATTTTTTCCAGGGTTCAATTAGTTTTCACATAAAAAGCCAAACAGGAGTGGCCTTCCATCTCTGCCACCTCCTGTAAGCATTTTTGTTATAATGTTTCTTACTCCAAGCCAATAAACAGGGCATATTGATTCAGACTATGATCCTGCTTCATTACTTGAGTAATGATGAGAAATTAGGAACAAAGTTTAACAGCCTCTGGGTTCCCTCCTATGAGTCTAGTTAATGTCCATTAAGTGCATTTCTGATTGTACATTGTGGGAATGATAATATGATAATACATGATGACCTCACTGCTTAGTCATAAACAGACGTTTCTTTTAGTGTACATATATATGTGTAGTAAATGTGCAGGTTCGGTGATTTTTGAGTAAGTCAAGCTTTTTTAGCATGGAAATCCCAGATAAATAGAGCAATTGGGATGACTCTAGTCAAGTGCTCGTTAGAAAAATGTTGACAAACACGGACCAATGAGTTCCTTGGGAACTCATTGGTCCGTGTGACCGTCGGTTCAACTGAGCTTTTTCTATCAAGGGGAAATGAGCCATTTACAGCATGTTTAAGTAGGTATTTAATTTTTCTGGTATAGCTACTAAGTTAGCAGTGTCATGCAGTTTATCATAATGAAGTTAAGTGAACATGCTTTAAAATGGTGCTCTTATTTTGAAAAGATAACAAAAACTTACTTGCTTGACAAACATTTGTATGCAAACAGAACCCCTAAGTTTTCAAAAGAAATTAAAAAAAAAAGTACCATCTCAAGGAGAAATAAATTAACGAAATTCAGAATTATGCACATGCTGGGCAATGTTTATTTGCAGAAATATAGTTGGAGAACAAGTACTTATTGAGCTGAAGAAATTTAACCGACTCTATTTAAAAGAAAAGGGTATATTAGAGCATAGTATTTATTCTGTACCTAATTGCAAGTATTAAATAACACTTTATATGTCCAGTAATTAGAAACTGTGGTAAAATCTGGCGAACACAAGGGGTTAACAAAAATCAAAATTGGGAAAATTTCTCATCTCAAATAAACTCTGATGGTGCAATGTTGACATCTTTGGCAGCACTGATCGTATAGAATTGAAGAGATGGAGAAGTGCTTTCTTATGAGATTGTGCATTGTTTCAAATGTCAAAGCTGTTCACATGAGCTTCAACATTTGAGATTCTCAGCGCATGTTATAAATGCTAATTGTGCAGAAACAGCAACTCTAGCTTGTGTACCATCACATAGATAATGCTTCAAGTGGAGATTTGCTGCACCTTGTTTAAAATAGGCCTTAAAAACATTTATCACTATCAATCGATGCCTAGTGACCAGGTACCGGTAGCCTTGGAACCAAGGCATACTACTCAGGGGAGATATACACATGGTAGCAGTAGCGACATTGACGATTGCTGCACTCTTAGCCGCCTCTATTTGATGTGACTGACTGAACTGACTTACTGTCCCTGACTGACTGACTGACTGTGACTGAACGACAGCTGTCACGCTTGTCGTTGTTGATGTAGGCGGAAAATGCAAAGCATTAACCAAGTACTGAGGATGTTAGGTTCAAAAACTGTTATAGATCAAGCAGACATATGTTTCTTCCAGGACAAATGTATCAAAAAGGAGCACCAAGGGCAACGGGTGAATTTTCTTGTCCTATTTCCTCAGAGGAGGACACGCCCGCCACTTGTAGCACCACATGTGGTGGTTGAAGGCCTCGTCATCTGGGAACACCTCGTTGTTTGAGAGCACAATGATGGGTGTCTTGGAAATGGTCTGGTTAGCAGTGTACTTGACAGCCACCAAGTTTACGTCACCACCAAAAGTTTTTTTGACAGTATCAAAAGCAGATGACTCACAGTTTGCCTCGTTCCGTACCAGGATGCGGCGTCCCACGGTGTCCTGTAGTGGAAAGCTAGTGTAGCAGTTAAAGTTACGAATAGTGCCTCGGTTAATGTAAAATGAAAGAACAGGATCAAAAAAGTTTTTGCCTGCACTCGGAGGGGACACAATTTCCATGCAATTTTTCTTGGTGACCGCCTTCTCGACCAGGCTGTACAAGTTGTTTACAAAAGCCGACACTTCCTCGTGGACTTCGTGAAACTGAAACTTTAAACGTTCCATCATGGCATCAAACGACGCAGGCACGTCCATGTAAAAGGTAGCGAGGTCGCCGTGTGGGGCGTCCAAGAGTGGCTGCGTGTTCTTGTACATTTCTACGAAGTTGAGCGTGGAGTACGAACACATTTCTTCATTAAACACTTGGATGGCTCGTTGATGGCTCTTGTCGTTCAGGCGAATAAATCGAAAGACCGGGTTCGCCAGCGATTTAGGGGTGCGCACTAAGTTGCTCAACTGCGATACGGGGTTTTCGCGTAGCCAGTCGTAGATGGATTCTTCCGACGCTCCTTTTGCACGTTTTCCGCACTTTGTACCCTTTGTTGCGCATACTTTGTCAGCGTCTCCACCGCTCATCTGACCTCTATGGGCGTCGTCACATGCAACTGAATGCAGAAGTTTCGGGTGGAGTATTTCCAAAACTCAGCCAGGCTCGTGTCCAGAACCTTGGAATTGTCCCAAAACTTCATCTCTAATGTCGCGACCCCAATCGCTTCCTCCTACTTTAAGGTGTTCCAGTAGTCGGGGCTAACTATTGAGATACTGGACGAGATTGTAGAGGTTCCGTGCGCTGGCATTTATAGACCAAATTGAAGAGCAATTTGGTCGTCTGATGAAGCCAGCGAAGATAACACATCGGCTTGTGCCATTGCTCCAGCTGCAGTCGTGTAGGATGTGGACGTGTGGTAGAGTGGTTCCTCGTGTGTGGAGTGCGACGGCAGCGATTCTGCACTGGGTGGGTCCTTGTTCGAATCCTCTGACAATGTCATTACAAATTGTCTCAGCTTCTCCGTCATCTCAAGAGGGAAAGACGTTATGCACAAGCTTTCTTCGTTTTGGAACTGAGTGTAACTGCAGTGCCCAGCTTGGAGGGGATTGTAAACTTTTCCCTTCTCCTCTAGTCCCTTTTCCTGGTTCGGACGCGCTTGAATTTGATACTTCTCCCACGCCTCGATCAGATTCAGCAAGTGTGGCCATGGTTTCAATAATGTCATAGGCACCGTTTTCGTGGCTCGAACCAATAAACTCTGTAGTTTGTGCCTGCAAATATAAACGGTGTCACCAAAAAGCGATTCCAAATGGTAAAATAGCGGTACCTTGCCTTCTTATTCATCATGATGACGTTTACGTGGTTCTGCCATGGTCTCTATTCAAAGAGCAAACAAAAGCAACAATTCAGAGTATAGTATATTTAAATAAAAAGCGTGCAGAGTGTTAAGTTGAGCCAAAACATCCACCGTTATTTTTGGCCAACAGGATAATGCAAATCTGACAAGCACATTAGATTTTATATAGTACAGCAATGCAAGTCTGATTGGCAGTCAAGAAGACACATCATGTTTCAGAAGGCAGACATTTTCGTACGACCACTGATATAGCAACATTGTGCTTCACATTTGCTGCTTTATGAGGCAGGTGCCTCCTTTTCAATTGCAGTCTGAAGTATGAACTGCAGTCTACTTACTCTCTGAAGTTGTCACTCGTGTAAAGCAGAACAATAGGTTGTGGCTATGGCTTCAACGCGACCGCAACCAGATTGCATTAGAGAAGATTGAAGCATCCGTGAAATAGTCCCCCCCCCCCCCCCTTTTTCATGCAGCAGATTGGTTGAATGAGCCTATTGCCAAACAATTTTATTTTGACCTGTTTTATAGAGCTTCTAGATGGATCCAACCACAGTTTTATCTTTTTTAAAAGCTGTTATTATTGCTGCTTGTGTCAAGCGCTTTTACGTGGTGATAAGAAACCTGTGACCCATGTTTTGCTCGTATGCAGGCCGCTGCATTGCTCTGAATGGGCATGAAATATTTCTCACCAATGAAAGAACAAGAATTTGAACGTTGTTGGTTCAGATCTCAATGACAAAAAACTGGTCTTTTGTCCACTTTGCTTAATTTCAATTGATGTGCTAATAACTAACTACGCTACAGATAAGACAGCATTTCATGTGCTTTGTGCTTTGTTAGACCTAATTCTCTGGTTCATTTGGCTCTTAGAAATGAGTTTCATTGATGCTTGCTGCTGAGCTCATTCAATAGCAAGTTGAAGTGAAACATAGCTACTAGCTGTAGAAAAAAAAAAAAAAAGATGCATGCACCCTTAACATTGAAACTTGTATTGTGCTCTGCATGTACTTATGCACACCCCAGAAAAGGCAAAGTAGAGAAGAGACGAGAAAAGGAGCAGCAAAAACTGAAGCAGGACGCTGTACCTTCCAGTATGTTTCAGGGTTCCTAGTACATTCGAAAGAAAAGGGATCGATATTGGTTACTTGTATGAGAAAAGAACTCTGCAAGCGTGCATTGATGGCACAGAGTAGCAGCTTGTTGGGTACAAAATTTGCCTGCAGAAGCGTTTTACTGAAGCATGTCTGATTCAAAGTGTGCTGTTACTTTCAGGCTCGGCTCAAAAACTAAAGAAAAGTCTTTTTCAGGGCGCCATGAGTGTTGACATCAAGGTAGAGCAGAGTAGCCCTCCAAACTCTCCACCTCCTGTGAGTAAAGCTTATTTTTTGCAATTTGATGCTTGTTACAACTGGCCAACAATATGGCACATTAGTCTTTTGGTTCTTGTTTGAAATACAGTTAAGACAGAATTTAACAAAGCAGCGACATAGCTTGAGTTAATTTGCGAAGTTGCAAAATTTTTAAAATTTACAAGAGAATGTTGCTGTTCGCAGTCTCAAATTGTAACATGAGGACACCTGAACACTACCGGGCATTATTATTGCCGCTAATTTGCCTGTGTGCATGCAAAGCTCGAAAAGTGGCCCGGACATGTAGCCTCCCGCATGTAGGGGATGCAGGCTAGGTCGCATGGAGCTATGGCTGGCTGGTGGTGGGCGGATGGGGAGACTGACTGCAATCATGGAAAATAACAAAAGCAAGCATCGTAGTGTTTCCTTGGGGGCATTTGCAGGGACAATGAACAGCTGTTGCTCCTAGCCTTATCTGAGTTGCTAGAGTGTTACTGACTAGAATTAATATTGTTCTGTGCAGGTCTGCATCTGCCCTGTCAAAATAAAATTAGGGGTGAGATTAAGGTTGCTGGATGCAACTGTTGCAGTGCGAACTTGAAGGGAAACCCGCCTGTGCTGGGATTGAAATGAAATCACCACTTTTTTCATAATTTATTTCAAGAAGGACATTGTTATTTTGGGTTTGGTGCCACATTGTTGATCACAACATTGAACCCTGTGAACAGTTTCCAGGAAACGAAAATTTATTCAAGAAATTGAGAACTTTGTAAAATCGGCTTTGTATTAAACTGAGTTTCAACTGCATTCAAGTTGTGATGACACAACATCACGTGAGCACTCCCGTGCAAGGGCCCCCCCCATGCCCTTTAAACGAGCCAATATCACTGGCACGAAAAATGGAGGTGCCTTTCTGCACCGCATCAAAGTTCAAAAAAGTAATGCACTGTACTCCCTCAGAATTCTTCTGGCTCTTGTTCGTGGCGTGGCATATTATAAGACAGCCCACGAACAAAATTTTCTGCACTGTTTTGAGAGGGTGGAAGAGTAATGTTATTTTCCTTGAGCAGTGCACATATTGTGAAGTAAAAATGAAATTAGGGTGATTGCTTAGGTGGGCACTTGCTCAAAGTTTTATAGGACAAATGTGACTTGAAAAGTAGCATCGTGCATATTTTTACCCCTTTGCACTTTCCCTTGTTGTTATTATAGGAACACATTTATTATCGCACATTTCTGTAGTTGAAAGAAAAAAAAAAAAAAAGATGACTGCGTCTTAGTCGAAAGTTTAAAAATGGAGAATAGTTTTTTTATTGTGTGTTTACACGCCTTCACGTGTGTGCTGTAGTACTTTTGATAAATGAATCTTCTCAAACACTGAAATGCATGAATTTTGAATGAACAATGGTATGAACATAGGTTTATTGCTTTTTGGCACAGTGTAAACAAGTTATGGTTAAGCAAAACTCGTCAAACATGCATTGTTTCGGTCTAGTTGTTATAGACGGCTTCGGTGTTTGTAAGCAAACTGGCTCGCGTCAAACGGCTTACCCCAGCATACTTCCACGTCTAGCGGCCACATGAAGGGGCTTGACGTAGTGCACGGCAGTTGTAGGTGCGGCCACTGCTGCAGGTAACACAGTTTGCGTGGCCGACGGACGCCGCACAGAATATCCGTCGTGGCGTTCTGATGAGTGCAGCCCGCTCCTCCGTGTTACCTCTGGCAGCGGCCGCGCCTGCAGGAGAAGCTTTTCAGCGAACTTAATTGGGCTAGTTGGTTCTGAATGTCTATGTGGATGCACTTTGAAGACGCGAACAGAGAATCGACAGCGCACGCCTGTGTTTTCTCTTTTCGCATCTTCAAAACGCACCCACATCGTTGACATGCAGGAGAAGAGTTGCCTGGTCCATAGTGATGCTCTTCAATTCAGCTTTTCGACTAGAACTGAAAACCTTCCTCCTGTCAAACCCCGAACATATTTGTGTTATCGTCTAAGCACACAACCTCAAGATAAAACGCTTATTTTTGCGCCTGTGTAACGCCGGGCACTCTTTATAGAGATCATTGGCGTTTGGAATTGCTCGTGATCCGAAGTGTTCGTGTGACCGAGAAATTATAAAATGTACTGTTTATGGGATGACATCAACTGGGGCTTGGTCACGCGAACTATTACGTTTTACTCACGTGTAAGTTATTCATGAATCAAACTTTCAAGTTGAACCCACCTAAGCCATGTTCACACGGAAAGCTAAACGAGCTAAAATGCAGGGATATTAACTAGCGGCAGAAAGACAGGTGATGAGTCATTTGCTTGCACAGATGAGTGCCCACTTGCCGGCGTCGCTTTCGAAAAAAAATTAAATGAAATGACAAAGAAACGGGGACACTACGACATACAACGTGCGGCGATTCATATAGAGCATGGCTACTTTGTGCCCCATGTTGTTACAAACCATACACATTGTTATTATTGTTCAAACTATACGAGAAACACCTTTGCGATACATTTTCAGTGTTTGCTTTCACGTTTTGTTACCCGTTTCACGCGTCAGTACACGTATCTGGCGCGAGTGGGAGACGACAGCGACTGATGTGTTTCTGATAACTGGAACCTTTGACTAGTATCGTCTCTGTGCCATTAGTGTGCGCTGAGCTTTATATTGCCTTTAATGAAGTAGGAAGAACAAGCCTAAGCGCTCCTAACGGGAATCCAGTTTTCTCTCGTGATCAAAACAGAACATTTTTACTAGCATATAAAATCAGTTCAGGCATGTAGACTGCATCCTGGCTTGGCAAAGCTGTGGCTAAGTTACGAGCGCTTCATCAGAATGATTTTATCCGCATAAGATATCGGAACACGAGCAGCCGCGGCCAACTACAAAGGCTAACACCACGAAAGAACAAGCTAAGTCGGATGTTTCCTGGGGTGGTTTTTTGGTGAACGCACATTGTTGCCAGAGACCGGCAGGCTCTTGCAAAACAGTGTATAGGGCTTGACTGCTTACCCGAAGCTTATGGGATCGTATCTCAGGCATGACTGCTGACCCGAAGCTTATGGGATCGTATCTCAGGCATGACTGCTGAATTTTGACGGAGGTGACATGTTTGAGGTCCTTGTACGTGGGTGTAGGTGCACGGTAAAGAACCCCAGGCAGTTGAAATTTCTGGAGCCCTCTATTGCAGTGTGCTTCATAATGATGTCATGGACTTGCATTGTAAAATGCGAGCAAATATAATTAAAGTATAATTTTATAAAGCATATTAACCGCAGTTTCAACTAAACCTGCCACTTATGTAGAACAAGAAAAATCCGACTGACATCTCGGATGGTGATTCCTTATATGGCAGTGGTGGGAAACCCGTGCCAATTGTATCCACATGCATTAATGAGAAATTACTGTGCCATACTGCTCCACAAGGGTCTTTTTTGTCTAATTTGCACCATCGCTTGTGGGGTCTCGGCGAGGCGAACGTGCGCATCGCCATGCCACGCTCTTGGAGTGAACGGACACAGCAGACGCAGTCGGTACAAAGTACACAACATACATACATTTATTAACTAATTTAGACGACGATATCGTCCGCCGAATGATACACCAATTTCAATTAACACGCTACCATATAAACAACATAACGCAGTGACACACTAAACACACAATAACATGATAAACACACACCCAACACACTAACACATACCCAAGGCGGCGTCGCCAACGCCTGACTTTCCACGTGGGACCCCGGCGCAAAGCCCGCGGTGCCGAGCACCGGGAACCCACGCTACAGACAACCGTTCGCGGCAGCCGCCACGCGCAGAAGAGGCTCGCTCAACCCTCGCCCACCATCAAGGCCCGCCTTCCGCCAGGGGCCACCGCCGGCGCTACCACTCTACCAACAGTGGTACTCAACGCGAACACAACGCCATCTATCGCCCGGCGGTGGTCACCACCGAAATAAAGCCTTGGGGTGAGACACGTGCGCCACGCGGCGCAGACAACTTTACAGGGGGGGTGTCAGCACCCCCATATTCCCTCAACCTTAAATCAAACCATATCTCGAAATCAAAAATTAGCTACACAAGCTTTAACAAAAAATGATATCGCACGACCATAATGTCCTTGCACCACGACACCGCCGCTGGTCGACACTGCTGCACTGTTCGGCTAGACTTCATCTCAGTACCGGCCCCGCAACAGCAACGTTGCCGTCGGCGCGACGATCCGTCGCTAGCGCCGACACGTCTTCCAGTTGCGACCAGCACTCGCGAGGGCGCCGGACTGCAGGCAGTTGCGCAGGTCCCAGGCATCTCCATCGCCCGACCTCATGACCGCAGTCCTGGCCAGCGACGCTGATGATGTGCAGGACAGCCGGCCATGGATGACATCCCTCCCGCTGAATACATCAATAACAACAACAAAAAACTTGAAAGAAAACAATCGAGCAGGTCCTCTGGAAGGGAGCTTCGAGCTTTTCGTCCACGTGGTACGTTGGTCAGTACTGCTAGCTAATACATCGGTGGCGGCCGAGACGCCCATCAAAACAAAACAAAACTCACTTTTCCTAACTCGTGCTCACAAGAAAAAAAGTGAGGGAAGCATAGCGCAACACCTCAACGCCACGATCCACCTAGTTGTGCCACGTGCGACAGGCGGCTGCGCAGAGCCTTAGGCCTAATGAGTCGCTCGGCAACAATCGGCATCCACCCAGCACCAAGCCTAGGCGAAGAAAGAGGCAGCCGCGAGGAGACGTCCACTCTGTGAGGTGGCCCTATCGCTCGCCGCACACAGTAGCTTACCGAGCGATCGGCGTCCACCGCCCCGGGTGGTGTCACGACGCCTCGGCGTCGAGCCGCAATACCAGACAGCAACGACGCCTGGCTCCCTGAGCCCAAAGATATAGAAGAAGCTATTTACAGAAAATCGGACCACCCACGAGACTTCCGTACTCACTCGCTTCGGGCCTGGCCTACAAACCACGTGCTCTAGGCCTTGCTCACCCCAGGATGCGGACCGCATGGCTCTCGTCCTAATTCAACAACGTTTTTGAAAACTAACAAGAAAAAATAACAACACTTGCGAGCAAAAAAAAAAAATAGAAAGTCAACCTGCCGACAAATTCAAACACGTAACAAAACCAATCTCCTCGCTTCTCAACAAAGCGCACCACCGACGCTAGCAAAGAAGTCCCCCCTAGGCCTACTCTACTCCGGCTCTAACAAAATCCGTGTACTGAACCGCAAAAACTGTCGTCCGATACTCCAGGAGCTCCACGTTGGGCAGCCAGTGTGGTGTCTCGGCGAGGCGAACGTGCGCATCGCCACGCCACGATCTTGGAGTGAACGGACACAGCAGAGGCGGTCGGTACAAAGTACACAACATACATACATTTATTAACTAATTTAGACGACGATATCATCCGCCGAATGATACACCAATTTCAATTAACACGCTACCATATAAACAACATAACGCAGTGACACACTAAACACACAATAACATGATAAACACACACTAACACACCCAACACACTAACACATACCCAAGGCGGCGTCGCCAACGTTTGACTTTCCACGTGGGACCCCGGCGCCAAGCCCGCGGTGCCGAGCACCGGGGACCCACGCTACAGACAACAGTTCGCGGCAGCCGCCACGCGCAGAAGAGCCTCGCTCAACCCTCGCCCACCACCAAGGCCCGCATTCCGCCAGGGGCCACCGTTGGCGCTACCACTCTACCAACAGTGGTACTCAAAGCGAACACAACGCCATCTATCGCCCGGCAGTGGTCACCACCGAAATAAAGCCCTGGGGCGAGACACGTGCGCCACGCGGCACAGACAACTTTACCGGGGGGGTGTCAGCACCCCCAAACGCTGCCCCACAAGGTGGTTTTGGAACCAAAAGTAATATTGACAGTACGTATCGCGAGTGGATATTATGTGATGGTTGCCACCTTGTACACTCGCGCTGCTGCATTTGCATACACTTTCACTGCTGCAAAAGCGCTGAATCGGCCCATCACTTATTGCAACTTACGCGCGATTACAGTGGTGCCTTTTTAGGCAACCATTGGCAAAGAACGAAGGCATTGTTACGGCTACGAAAAAGCGCGTCACTATGGCTTGTCGCCGACAAAAAGTCTACGTCTGTGGCGGAGGGCCGCTTCAAGTCTACTCCATGGTTATAATATCTTTTAATAGCCGGAGACTACCTGCAAGCGCTGAGGCACCCTGATCGCTGCTGCCTTAATCGTGGTGCGGGACCGTGTTCAACATGCACTGCTTTGCAGAAAGGAAAGCAGTTCGCTGTTACACACTTGAGCGTTATGGATCGCGGGCACTGAGATAACAAGCCTAGCGCACGCTTTCATGAGACAACAATCCATAAGCACCTCTGCCTGCTGCTAGGATTGCTCATGCAGCCCTTGCAGAAAGCTTGCAGCGTCGTCGTCGCATTAGTGCAACTTGCTTTTCACTGCATCTGTGCATAGTACAAAGGGAAGTGGGCGCAAGTGACTCGTCACGGTATGTACGCCAAGTAGGTTAGGTGAAGCGCTGCACGCAACTAGCCACTAGACAATTGGCTTCTTGTGACTGTACCTGCGACACTTTTCGCTAGGTAGCAGATTGCGGTACACATTTATTGTGTACAGCTGATTATGTCCGTTTCGCCACTGTGTCAGTCGCTGCATCGGCTGCGTTTTCTGGACTTCACAGTAGTTTCGAAATGTTCTTGGTTGTCGCTACAGTGTGCCATCGAATGCTTGTCAGAGAATGCCAATCATTTCTGAACATTGGCAAAAAGAAAGAAACGGCTTCATGCTTAGCCACTTCAAGCAGTATTTGCTGTGGCACTGTATTCTTTCATTACCAGTGATGGCACACGTAAAGAAATGCAAATTGGTACTGGTCATAGGTGTATGCACAGGGGGGTTGGGGGGCAGAGGGGTTGCAAAGCCAGCCCCATACATTGACATGATGGGGAGAGGGGAGCGCTGCGACGAACCTTTGCCCCCCCCCTCCAAAAGGGAAACCTTGCACCCGCTGATGTATTTTGTGGCTAATGCATTCTATGTTTAGTGTGTAGTTGGCCGTGTGCCCCACAGGTTCTTGGCTTGTATGTATGTATTAACGAGCTTTTACTGTAACGAGTTTTGATTGTGTGTGTGTGTGTGTGTGTGTGCATGCGCACGCGTGCTGCGGTGAACTGCATGTTGCAGCTAGCTTGTTGGTGATTCAATTATTTTTTGTGCTTATTTTGTAAGCTTGCTGCTTCTGTATAAATGAATATGTAAACTGAGGGAACATCAATAATTTTTCTTCCTTTGTGCGTGTCATGGAAAGCCCGTGCATGCTCCAAGCACAGACGTAGCTGCTCCAAAAGCAGATTTTGCGTGTTGCAATGGCTGCTCCAAAATACTGGAAGGCGTTCCCTCTACTGATAGGGTGATAAAAATTGACCTAACAAAAAATGAAGCTCAAGTGAAGGTGGGCAGGTGCAACTTCCTGCAACTGTATTGCATTGTGGCAGCCCCACTGAAAAACAGGACTGATTTTTCTGTTTAGGCAATCGTGCTATTTATTATATTAAAAACATAAGTATTTCAGACCGGGTTAGCTGGTGTTCTGTTTTATGTGAATCAAAGGAAGCACTGTGAACAGGACAGACGCTATGGTTCACAGTACGTTGAGTGCAACAGGTGTAAATGTTTTTCATGGCCAAATGCTCTTTAAAAAAATCTGAAAGAGATTGATTTCACAGACCTTTATTTTTCAGCTACTAGTCAGGACTGGTATTCATAATTTTGATCTACTCGGAAGCTCTCTTGCAGTGCTGTGCCCCACAACGCAATCTAGTTTGCTTGTTTTAGTAAGTTTTTCATCTTGTTTTTAGATATATTAATGAAAAGAAGTCATAGGTATAGTGAAATCAGGAGTATAAGAAAAAAACTTCGGCTGCAAATAAAATGAGGCTTTGGTGTACTTGTATGTGTGCAAGGCCTCGGACTGTTGTGGAAATGGCTTACAATGTCAAAGTTTGGAATAAAATGTACACACTTTATCTCCAGGTATGCCAGAGGTACCATTTGTGTGGTGCTGTAGTTCTTATAAGAATGAAAGCTGCTCATATCACAAATGTAAGGGGCTTGTTGCTACTGTCTTTGAAGTTCTGCCGACCAAATTAAAGCAGCTTGTCTGTCAGCAGTGTCGTGCTCTTGAAGCATGCGAAGTGTGATAATGAATGCATACAGTAGAATACATGAGAATAAACAACAAAAATATCTTTTTCAGTGGTTGGAGTGCGTGAATATCAAGGAAGAGCCAAGCAGCCCTCCAACCACGCCACCTTGTGTAAGTGAATTGCACTTTCTTGTTTTGGCTTACTTACTCGAAGCTCGGTGTTTCTTATCTTGGCATCATGAAACAAGGATGAAAAACAGAAACATGTTGATGACAGACTGTTCACTACCACTTTATGCATACCTTGCAATGTGTCGTATAAAACTTGGAATCACGTAGGAGGAGGGGTTTGGTCGAAGCCAAAGAGTGCACGTCAAATAAAATAAAATAACAGCTATGCCTTTGTGAGCCAGTTAAGGAGAAGACTGATCAGAGTGGATCGGGTTCTAAGAAATTGATTTTTGCATGAGTTAGCTGTGGTGGTAAATGCAGACACATAAGCCCAATAAAGTAGACAGGAAATCCACTACTACCGTATTTACTCGATTCTACCGCGCCCTCGAGTGTAACGCGCACCAGGTTTCCACGACAAAAAAAAAAAAAGTAAGACATCGATTGCAACGCGCACCCATTTTTCTCGTTGGCCCACACGATCACACCACTCGGGAAAAAGACTCCTTTCGAGAGCGTCTTCCATTTAAATATGAGGTATGGGTTAAGCTTGTGCCTATCTGACGTGCAACGGAGCATTGCCGTCACTCTAGTTTTACTGTGGCCCGATGTCAGCACGCGAACTTGCTTCGCCCCCTTCTTCTCGACGGTTGTGGTGCCAGGCATGTCAAAGTAAAGAGGCGTCTGATCGGCATTCCCGATTTGCCCAAGCAGGGAGCCGTTGTTGTGCCGCAAGTTTAGGACGAACCTCTGAAAACTGAAGCTTTTCTTCGTACTCCTCCGGCAACTTTTGGCGTATGCCCGTTCGCCTTCACAGGGAAAAGCCTTTCCTCTTCATAAAGTTAGTTAGCCAGCACCTGCCCGCCTTAAACTGGCTCCGCATTAGCCCTTTTTCTAAGGCTAACTGCATAGCCTGCACTTGGAGCAGTTCTGTCGTCACGGGCCGCTGTGCCGCTCACTGCAGCTCTTCAATTTGCGGAAACTGACCCTGCTGTGGTCCACTGAAGCCTTTGCGTGAATCTTTCCTGTCGACAATATTCTGCTTTTGTTTCCGCCAGTCCCGCACGCACGTTTCGTGAACTCCGAACGACCGCGATGCAGCCCGATTTACGTCCGTTTCGGCACACACGATGACTTTTCTTTTAAAAGCGACATCGTGGTGCACTCGTCGAGTTTTTGGAGTTGGCCCTTTCATGCCGTCGATGCTAATGCACACCAAAATGACGAACTCCTCAGCACATGTACGAAGTGCTGCACATGTGAAACCCATAGGCAGAAATGGCCGACGCGCCATGCCGACGCACGTAGGGGGCAGCCATTTTGGAATGCCGCTTTATCTTTACGTCTGTGCCATGTTTCTTTCATATGCCGTATTTACTCGCGTAATGAACGCACTCGCATAATAAACGCACCCCCAACTTCAGTAATCAAAATTTGGATTTTTTCCCCCCGCGTAATAAATGCACCCCTTACATTCATCTGCTGCAGTCCCGCTAACCAACACCTGGCGCCTCCTCCCCCGTTAGATCTCTACCGTTTTTATTATTTTGCCGGCCCCCCTCGGCCACCTCAACTCGCTCCCTCCCCGTCCGTTTGCCCGTTTCCACATGCTGTATTGTTTTTCTTTCTCTCTGTGCCTAGAACATCCTGTCTCTTATCTGTGTGCCACAGCGGGGTTCACTGGGGTTCATGGACGGTGCGATTGTAGAGACATCGCAACTGATAAGCACACAGCAAGTGAAGGTCACGAAGCTGCCCGTGCCAACTGGTGATCGCTTCCTGCAAATAAGAAAAAGCCCAACCACGATCACGCAATTTTCGAGCGACGACGGCAGGATTTGCTGTCGCAAAGGATCATTTGTCGCTATCGTGTTGCAGGTTTCTGGAAAACCAAAAAAGAAGCGCTTGTCGTTCAGAAAAGATTGTGACGATTTCCGCAACATTGTAGCAACCCTGATTCTTGCTTCGCTTGTTACCTGTGTGTAGAGGAACTTCTTGTGTAGAAGTGAGGCGGCGGCCGTATTTTGTCGGCGGTTTGTTTTGATGCTTTGAGTGTAGTTTGCTGAGATCTTGATTACTTGCTACAATTTTAACGGCGCCATCACGGTCATCATGCGAGGTTGCTGCGAAGTTGGCAAAGTGCGTCGTAGCGTCGTAGCGCAAGCTTTTGGGCGCCCCCTCGAGACCACAGCAGATATCACTCTTGCGCTTAAACGATTGGGAGAAAATATGGCCGCAAAATGCTTTTATGGCCTGCGCTGGCGGCCCGGGTACAGCTTGAAGAAGATAGCGCCATCAACCATCAAAGATGAGTAAAGTGCAACAAATAAGCTGTTTCCAAACAGTGTACTTGTATGTAAATTGCAGAAAACTAAGCGACCTAACCTATTTTTGCATTACCACATTTTTCGCTCCCCTCGAAGAAGTTTTCATAAAATTTACCCGGCACAATAAACGCACCCCTAAACTTTGCTCCAATTTTTTAGAAAAAAAGTGTGTTCATTACGGGAGTAAATACTGCATGTACTGCACCAAGTATTACTACTAAAGCTCAATCGGTAGAGCATCTGAAGATAGTAGGTTCGGTTCATACTAGCGGCAGGTAGATTTTTTTCCCTTTTAATTTTCTATGGCTTAGTCACTATACTACGTAGTGTAAGGTTGAAAAGCAAAACTGGCACTTGGGTGCACACGGCCGGAGGATTGGCAAAAAAGGAAAGAACGAAGCAGATTAGAACAGCCAGCTTAGTGAACAGGCATTGTATCTATGTCTGTAAGTTTCGCCTGTGCAATAACGCAGTTGCCGAAAACTATGCCTTAAAGCAGACACCACCTGCGCTCGTGCGTTCTCAGCGTTCTGGGGCGACCATACAAGAAAAGCCGTCCACGCTTCCTCGGCCATGGAACCCATCTACCTATCACTGTGCCAAGCACAGTTCAAGGATGGAATTTATGCCTCCTCGTTGCTTCACAACATCCTGGCGCTGTGGACACCATATTGAGACAGCATCCCGGCCTCCTTGGCGGCTCAACTTTCCTTCATCGGCGCCACAACACCAGTTCACAGTCAAGGCATTGCATGGGTTATGGGAATATCTTGACACCGTGGTTTAGGATTAGGGTCAACGCGCTTGGATTGATTGATGAAACCAACTGCAGGTGACCAACATGGCCTCTATTTCTCGCTGAAATTCGCGCAACATATAGGCCCGGTATAGGTTTTGACACAAAGGCACATAACAAACTAGAAAAAAAGTACTTTATTAATATGGTGGGTTACTTGCGTGCCCTACTGTGGAATAATATAATCCCGGATTTTTTTTCTGTGTCAACGACTTCGCTGCCTGCGACAGCACGCACGTCTCCACGTTGTCCAACGATTTGGAGCAGCTGAGGCCGCAACCTTCCGCATTGAAGCAATAGCGCCGAACCAACGCAAGTGCACTAATCACTTCGGAAGATGTAGGCAGTGGGCCGTGGTCGATTTTTATATTGCTGTCGCTTTGGCTCGTGGTCGGCACGATGTCTGCAATGTAATCCTCATCCTGTAATTGGCCCATGATGAGGACATCATCGTCTGCACTGACGAACTTCACGAATGTCGATCCGTCGATAGCACCCGGGAATTCTGCCAGCTCGTTCCAAACTTTGGCGGAAACACCTGCGGTGTCTTCATTGCTGTCAGCACCAGGCATGGAGAAGCCGGCATGCCTAAAGCAGTTCTGGATCGTCTCCTTCTTGACATCTGCCCACTATCTACTCAACATAGAAATAGCTCCAACCAAGTCGATCTTAAGCTCCCTGCCGACACAAAGGTTCTGCAGCAGCCTCTCCACCAGGCGCTTCCGATAGCCACCTTTCATTGCGCGTATAACGCCTTGATCCAGTGGTTGCAGTACAGACGTAGTGTTCGGGGGCAAAAAACGCAGCTCGATGTTGCTGAAGATCGTACTGCAGTGGTGTCATGAACAATTGTCCACGAGCAGGCACACCTTGCGATTTTCGCCTACCAAATCATCATTCCACGACGATAGCCATCTGCTGAAAAGCTCCCCGGTCATCCACGTTTTTGAGTTTGCTCGGTAGGTAACTGGAAGCGACAGCGCATTTCGAAAACACCGCGGTGCCGTGCTTTTCCCGACAACCAGAGGTCGAAGCATTTTCGATCCGTCTAAATTAGCTGCCAACAGCACAAACACACGAGCTTTGTTTGCCTTGCCGCCGCTTGTCTTGTCGCCACGACACGCAAGTGTCTTGTTTGGCAACATTTGCCAAAATAGAGCAGTTTCATCCGCATTGAAAATATCTTGGTCTCTATATCTTGCTGCGATATCTCGCCAGTTTTCCTCGAGCCATTTTTCTATGCTGTCCAGGTCCGCCGCTCTGCTTTCACCTGTAACAGCTTTGCCAACAATGTCGTGCCGTTCTTTGAACCGCTGAAGCCAGCCTGAACCACCTTGGAAATCATTCCTGCCAAGCAGAAAGCAATGTCCTTGGCTTTCTGCTCGATCATAGGGCCGGACAGCAAGATGTTTCGCGACCGAACGTCTACAAACCACTTGTAAACAGCCGCTTCAACATCTTCGTACACAGCAGCGCGCACACGTCGGGCGCCACGGGCACCTGGCCTTTTGTCAGACTTGGCCCTGATGTCTGCCTTGTTCTTCAATATAGTACTCAAGGTGCTCCTCGGAATTTCGTACGCTGCGGCGACGTCAGACTTCTTTTCGCTGCGCTCAACCTTATTGATGATTTCAAGTTTCGTGGCGAACGGCAAATTTTGCCTCTTTGCGCAAGCCATGATGACATCACACCAATACAGTTCACAGAGCGCCAACAGGCAACACCACAGGCCACGCTAAATCGACGGCAGCAGGCACACAAGCATAAAAAAAGAAAAAAATGGCGCTCACTTCTACCGCCTACGTGCCTCGGAGAAAGCACGGCGGCCTCTGATTGGCTGTAAGCGCTGCGAGCGGGCCAGGATCATTTCTTGGAGG